ACAGAGCTGGCCTGGCTGCTCCCCTACAATGGCGTCACTGTGGCTCAGGACAACTGCTATGCCTCGTACGGCAAGATGGAGATTGGAGCTCTGGGGCCGGGCCTTGGGGTTGGGGTGCAGCATGTACTGGGTTATTTGGTGCAAAGGGGCAGTTCATTGGGATACTTTGGATTCTAGAAGGAACTAGGGAAGAGAGATTTTTTTTTTTTTTATTTCTCTTCCAGTTATGGACTTTGTGGGATCCATTATATTGATGCTGGTTACCTTGGTTTCAAGGCCTACTTCACTGCTCCTCGGAAAGGCACTGTCTGGGTGAGCCTCTCTCTTCTGTAGTTCGTGGGAAAAGGCTCCTTCTCTCACTAGTGATGATCAGCGAAAGGCAGTAGTTATGGGCAGAAATAAGAGAAAATAGGCATGTGGTAACTGTACCATCAAGGATATGCGTTATGTTTGATAAATTTATTTGTGTGTGTCTCTCGTCATATTATACAGACATTTCCAGTTCACAGATCTATCTATATGAATGAATGAATGAATGAGTGATGCTGTTTCTCCCTATTAGAGTCTTTCAGGATCTGACTGGCTTGGGACAATAGCCGCAGGAGATATATCCGGGGAGCTCATTGCAGCCATCTTGCCTGACATGGCACTGAATCCGATAAATGTCAAGCGACCTGTGGAGCGAAGATTTGTACGTATATGAACATCCAGCAGCAGCACCCGCTGTTGAATCCTCCACCATATGGCCTCCTATCTCCTCCTGTAGCATCTAAATTAGTACGAGGTCTCTCAGCCCTGGTGTCAAACACCACCACCTTCTTGTGCTTGAAGTCCTTCTGCCACCCTACCTTCTCCTTGCTCTTGTTCTGACTCCAGCATTCCGGATCCTAACATCCCGGTCTCCTTTCCAGCCTATCTACAAAGCGGACCTGATGCCATATCAGGACAGTCCTGATGATCCAGAGCACTCCTCCACCTCATCTGGAGTCCCCGATCCTCCCAAGGCACGAACATATGCTGAAACTGTCACCCATCACTACTTACTCTTTCAAGATACAGATTTGGTAAGTTAAGACCAGAAGCACAAGTGTGGCATTAAAAGAGGTGGGGAGTGAGCTCCCCATATGACGGGGAATCCTCAGGGGTCCCGGCACAGAGATGCAGAACTAAAGAGCCACTTGCTTCCTGTTGCTGTGTGCCCGCTCCCGCCAGGGTTCCTTCCACAACCTGCTGCACAGAGAGCCGATGCTGCGCATGCAGGTGGGAGAGGGCCACTCTCAGCTCTGCCTGGACAGGCTGCAGCTCGAGGCCATTCATAAGGTAAGTGCTTTGGCTCAGCCTCTGCCTTCCCCTCGACTCAGGGCTGTGGTGAGTGAAATTGGAGGGAAGCAGCCTGTTAACCTTTTCCTCATGCAGTGGCTTCCCTTTTCTCTGCTGTTCACTTGCACACAGTCCTAGCCTTTCGATTGTGGCCCGTTTCTTTGCTCCCACAGTGGGCTTGGTCAATCATGAGGCATTTCTCTGTTTTCTGTTCTCACAGGTACGTTTCAGCCCCAACCTGGACTCCTATGGATGGCTGGTATCCGGGGGGCAGTCAGGGCTGGTTCGGATCCATTTTGTCCGTGGACTCACCTCCCCTCTGGGCCACCGAATGCAGCTGGAAAGCCGAGCCCATTTCAGTGCTATGTTCCAAGCCACCTCTCCCCCGAAAGGGCCTGGCTTCCCTTCAGCCAGCCACCGCCTTCTGTCTAGTCCCTAGTCTTGGTCCAGCAGGAGTGACTCTATCAGGAACAAGCGGCCCCTATGCACAGAGCCATAGGACCTGGGGCCCTTCTGGACAGTGATGCTGCTAGGCCTGACCTTGAGGCCTGCCTCCCCAGGACTCCGTAGATCCCTCTCCTTCTACAGACTTCTACGGGCACAGTTCCCTGTGGGCATAGGGGTAGGGGCTCTCCTTCCACATAGGCGCCTCAGCCTACAGCTATGACTCACAGGCAACACTCAGGCCTGACTCCGGCTTGGGAGTCAACTTGCTCATATTGAGCACATTGTGAAGAGGGTGAAAGCTAAGTAAAGGTACTGGGTGTTTTTGAGACCACTTGTGAGTGGTGTTTGGAGAACTGGAAAGGGTGTCCTCATGAAGGCTGCTGTGGGGCTGTGCTCCAGGGTCCATCATCACTGCCTTCCCCCGCGTCCTCTGTAGTGTAGCCAACACACAGGCCCGATGGGGTGATGGTCACGCATGGGCCTGAAGCTGCCTCTAGCACCTTGAACTGAGGACCACCAGCGACAGTTGACCAGGAAAGTGGCGGCTCAGCCCTCACACCTCCTGTTTGGGGATCTCCTCCCATCACTAATCACCTGGCCCTACTTGAGCACTCCCAGTCACCTTTTTGAAATCTTTCTTTATATCAAGTCAGAAAGTAAATCTCTTAATTTTACTCATGAGTGTTAGAAAATCTAGCCATTCTCCCCTGTAATTGCCTTTTTAAGTATTTAACAATAGCTATCATGTGTTTCCCAAGACTTTCCTTCTCTAGATTAAATATCTTCAGTTACTTCAACCATTCTTTCACACGTCATTTTTTTTTTTATTTAAGAGGCCGAGCGAGGGAGATCTTGTCTGCAAGTCCACTCCCCAGATGCCCTCAGCAAACAAGGCCAAAGCCAGAGGGTGGGAATGTTCTCTGTGTGGGTGGCAGGAACCCCACTATTTGAGCCATCCCCATTGCCTCCCAGGGTCTGCATTAGCGGGAAGCTGGAGCCAGGAATGGAGCACCCACCTAGCCCCCTGATGTGGAATGCAGGTGTCTCAGCTGCTAGGCTAAATGCCCCCTCCTTCCTGATACTGCCACATTGCTAACTGACTGGGTGACGAGGCCAACTCAGCTGACGACAGTACTGCCTCCTGGGTAATGGCAGACCCATTAACCAGGAACAGGCAAACTGCAGTCTCTCCAGAAGGGATAAGCAATTCTTCAGGTAATGTCTGGAAATATCCACTTTTTTTTTAAAAGATTTATTTTTATCGGAAAGGAAAATTTACATAGAGAGGCAAAGGCAGAGAAAAAGATCTTCCATGTGTTGGTTCACTCCCCAAATGCCTGTGTGGCTGGAGCTGAGCTCATCCAAAGACAGTAGCTTCCTCCAGGTTTCCCACACGAGTGCAGGGTCCCAAGTCTTTGGGTTATCCTCCACTGTTTTCCCAGGCCACAAGTAGGGAGCTGGATTGGGAAGTAGAGAAGCTGAGGCTCAAACTGGCACCCATATGGAATCCTGGCACTTTGTAAGGAGAGGATAAGCCAGTTGAGCCATTGTGCTGGGTTTTATGACACCCAGGAATTCAGGCTAGGATTTGGAGGGAGGTAGAAGTCCTTAGGAAATGGGGAAACAGACAACCAGCTCCCACTGGGGACAGCAGAGGTTAGCTTTTACTTGACCCTCTGGAGGGATGACTGGCAGGTATCTAGGAAGAGCTCTGCCTTTCTGGGGAGTTCATCACAGGTCAGAAATCTACAGAGAATGAGGGAAGCAAGAAATGCCAGCTCCTTTCTGAACAGAAGAGGAAGCCCAGGTCTGTCAGCAGTGCAGGGACCACAACGTAGTAGTGTGGTGGAGCCAAGGGTCGCCTAACTCTGTAACCTAGCCCAGGCCACACCCAGGTGTGGCAGCTGAAGGAAGGGAAAGTGCCTTCCATAGCAGACAAACTCTGTGGCCTATGGCAGCACCTCTTCTGTTTGCTGCGGTGGGAAACTCAGCCGGTGCTACCCTCCCCACTGCTGCTGCTGGGTGCCCTGGTCCCCGACCACAGGCTCCACCTCCAACAGACTCCCCATGATGCCTCAGATGCATTTCTGTCAGAAGCCTGTGTCCCCCAGGCTTCTCATCTGTCAGTCCCCTTGTCCCTGCTGTTTCCTCTCCCACCTAAGTCCCACCCATCATTTAGGATCCCTCTTCAAATTCTGCCTGCACCAGGGAGCCTCCCAGATCTGTCAGTAAACATCCCTGTGTTCATGTTTGCCAAGGCAGGAGGAAGGAAAGCAGATGCAAGTGTATCAAGTACCGTTTCAGGAACTTTGTTACTTATTCCCATGAGCCAGGCATTGCTGTTTTGCTTAAAGATCCCGGGAGATTAGGCATTCGGATGAAGGGGTTGAACCTGACTGTGTGACTTCAGTGTAATATGGCTTTCTGACCTGCTTCAAGTGTGGTCTGTTAGGTTTCTAAGTCCACTTAGAACGGCTGTTTTGCACACAGGGGCCCTTTCGTGAAGTGTGACAGTGAATGCCCTTCCTCTCTTCCTCCAGCACCACTGACAGGATTCTCTCCACCAATATCACACGATGAATTGAGTGAACTGGGGGCTGGATGCCGGCAAGTGGAGCATGCGGGGAAAAGGCCTGCAGGAGGCCCTCGCACCTGGAGGACACTGCAGGGTGCTCACATAGTCCCTCTTGTCAGATGAGATGCCAGTGCTTGCAGGGGCATTAACTAGTTGCGGGCCAGTTGCCAGTGTGGGTCCCTTTCAGTTGGTTCTTTCTAAAGGTGTGTTATCTTAAAGACAACTGAGAACCTGTACCGCTAGTCCCACTCCCACGGACTTATTTACAAAGCCCTTGGAAGTGAAGGGTCCAGCCTGAAAGTGCCACCCCTTCTTTTTACAGCTGAGGGCCTTGAGTTCGGCCGGGACCTTCCTCCTGTAGGAGTGTCTGAGATGGTGTGCTCCGAGGGGGCGACAGTCCTAGCCGCCTGCAGGAAGGGCGAGCAGGCACAAGCCAATCGGCTTGCGGGCAATCTAAGGGTGGAAGGAGGTGAAATAACTGCTGGCAACGGCAGCCCACCAGGACAAGGGGCTGCCTGTAGGGTGTGTGGCCCAGCGGAGCTGCTTCCTCTGACTAGCAAGGACTCCACCTCCCGGGTGGCCGCCAGCAGCCCCGAAGACCGCAGTCAGCCGAGCGGAAGGGGCGGGGCTCGCGGCGGACGTCGTGGGTCACGTGGGCGGGCTGCAGGGCACCGAGCGCGCAGTCAGGTGAGTGGCGGGCGATGTGCGGTCACTGCTTTGCAGTGGCACGCGCCGCGAGCGCCCACAGTGGACATGATCATTCCAGGCTCCGGCAGTGATGGTACTGTGCCCGGCGTGGAATTGGGCTCAACATGCGTGCGGGTGCTAGCTGAATTATGGGGCGCCAGGACAAGCTCGCCCTCAGGAGTGGCTCAGTCGGGACCTGGGGTGGGTAGCAGGTGGTCATCTCGGGAAGTCCGTGGCTGTCCTCAGCCTTCCTTTCCGCACGCGATGGTCTAGGACGACTTCTGTGAAAACATCTCTCTCGGGCCCACCCTCCTTTAAGACGAATGCGAAAGGGAACGTGGGAAGTGGGGCCAAGGATGTCTTAAATCCCTGGGAGCTGTGGGGGTGACCCCCTCTTTTCTCGGCTTGGCAGGAAGCATGGCACTCTGGCGGGCATACCAGCGGGTCCTGGCCGAGCACCCGTGGAAAGTCCAGGTCTTGACTGCGGGTGAGTGTCCTTTCGACACCGTAGTAGAGAAGCCACGCCTCCCTCACCTCCTGCTTCTCTTCAGACCCCTGGGGAGGTTGGCTGTGGTTCCTTGGGGCTGCCAATGTTGGGGAAGGGGAGGTGCCTGGAGACTGTTCTTCAAGAGGCCTGCAGGTTAGCCCCACTGGAAGTGAGGGGCAAGGCCCTGCCCCAGCAGCCTGCAGCTTGGAGAATAGCCCCCAGCTAAGACTCCCTGTGCGGCTTGTAATGTCCAAAGCACTTTGATACATTACCTAGTCGGGGCCCACAAAGCAGTGCTTGATTCCATGTGAGATCAAACACCTACATCTGAAATCAAGATCCAAAGCAGTGCTGGTTTATTTTTCCTAGTATTTCTTATTGTGACATACACTCAAAAAAAACACTAATTTACAGTCTTTTTGACATTTTTGGATCAACCCAGCTTTGAGACTCAGAGTGTGTATAATTCACGAGATTACGGCTCTACTGACTTGTTTATGTCATCGTTTGCTTTGCCTATTGTTTACTCTGTATGTATGCATCCCCAAACACTGCACTAAACAAGACTTAAAAAAAAAAAACTTAAATTGGTTGATTGAGTAACAGCCTCACCACAATAATCAAGTGACTTACTTGCAAGTATTCTTCACTCTGCAGGGTGGCTCATGTGAGGGGACAGCGCAGAGCTAAGCAACTTTGTAGGCCTCTCAGACTGGACCATCAGGGCTGTGCAAAGGGGAGGAGGGTTGGGTGAAGATGGGGTCTGGCTTGAGTTGAGAGGAAAGAGCAGCCATCTGGAATGAGGATGCTGAGCCAGCTTGAAAAGGGAGATCCTGGTGCCAGAAGAGCCCTGCGTCAGCGCTGGGAACGTCACGGGGTGACTGGCCAGCGGACGGACTCCTGCCCCTTCTGGACCCCTCTCCAGCCTCCTGTGCCCAGCCACCTCTTGTCCTGTCCCCAAAGCATCCGTCAACCCTGCATGACTCACCTGGCTGTGCGTGTGTTTGGTGACTCACACTGGACTGTGTGGCTGTGATGGGAACTGACACGCTGGGCCCTCTGCCCAGCCTCCAATTCCCTCAGGGCCAGCAAGTGCCAGGTGGAAGTTTCCCCCTCCTGGCCCTCAGACAAGGGAGGGAAGGATGGTCTTTTTGTTTTCCTCCCTTCGAGGTGCCTGAGGGCAGAAATGTGACTGCAGAAGGGGCTGCTGGGCCATTGGTGATAAAGCCCCTGACTTTCTATATTCAGAGAAAACTGTGAGTTGAGAGATGGGTAGCAGTCAGTGGATTTAGCTCACTGAGCCAGATGTAGTAGATGTAGGTCCCATGGCCACCACACCAGGAAAACAGAAGCAAAATCTCAGACTCAGCTTTGGGAAATCAAGGATTTAAACCGTAAGAGCCATAAGGGCATGGTGGCTGCATCATCAGGACAAGTCAATAAACCTTTGAAGGTGTCAGTTCTCTAGGACTTGACGTTAATAATACGAACAACTCCATGGGGCCAACATATGTAACCTTTCCAAAAAGCTTTAGAGATGAAGACATGCTTGATCAACTTAAGGTTTCCAGAGGTGGGCCCTCCCTGTGACTGTTGGCACAACAGGTTGTTCTCCCAAGGTGGTGTTGGGGTTGGGTTTGTTCCACTTGCCATGGATCTGAACAGAGATGACTGTCTTAGGCTGGGTGCAGGTGCTTAGTTAACGAGTAGGAAGTAACCCGGTGGTGGGAAAGAGGGAGAATGGAATAAAAGTGTGTGATCAGATTGGCCCTTGCTACAGGCAGCTGTTGCTCAGTCTCACACTGGTTGAGAAGCTCTTTGAACTGCTGTCTGGATGGACCAATCATTTCTAGAGAAAAGATCTTTTTCCAACTCCCATCCTGCATTGGTCAAGGGTTCATCCTATGGGATGTGACCTTGCCTTCACATGTGGGCTGCCTGGTCCCAGAAGGCATCATCTGTGAAGCCCCAGGCAGGGATGGGCCTGAAGGGAGGATCTACTACTACTAGGTTGAACTGCAGTGCTGACTGGACTTAGGTAAATGACGAAGATCTGAAATGGCTCCACGGAAGTATGTAATCCTCATCTTTGGTCAAGCCACAGTCAGGAGCCGGGCAGCCTGGGGAGAGGTGTGCCATGAGCTCTGCAGGGTCTGCATAAGCTGAATCCCTTCCTTTCATGAGGGCCCTTCTGGTTCTAGACATCTTAGGTCACCTGGTCCCATGATGGAAGCACTCAAGCTCCTGCAGATACTGATGTCCCTGAAGTCTGAGTTAAGCCAGAGTGGGAAAGCTCGACAATCTAGGAAATTATCCTGCCTCTTCTCTGATGCCAGGGCACAGTGACATGCACTAAGGTCTCCTGTGGTTGGTGGTAGGGCTGCTGTTAGAACCCAGGATGCTGGGCCAGTGCTGTGGCATATATAGTAAAGCCTTCCAATGCCTATATCTCATGTGGATGCCAGTTTCAGCCCTGGCTGCTCCATTTGTAATCCAGCTCCCTGAAATGGCTTGGGCGCAGCAGTGCAAGAGGGCCCAGGTCCTTGGGCCCCTGCCACCCTTGTGGGAGACCTGGCGAGGCTTCTGGCTTTGGCCTGCCCCAGCACTGGCTGTTTTAGCCAAATGAGGAGTGAACCAATAGGTGAAATATCTGTGTGAGTGTGAAACTCTTTTAAATAAATTTTAAATAAAACGGTACCTAGTACAGTGCCCATGGCTAGGTGGACACCTGCTCTCTCAGGTGCTGAACTGCAGCATCCCCTGGGCTGTAAAGCAAACCAAGTTCCTTCCTCACCAGGCAAATCAGTAGTGTGGACTCCTAGATCTGTAGCAACTGCCCCTTGCCAGAAGCTGCCTGACCTGCCCAGCCAGGCCCCATGTGCTGCTCCTCATCCCAAGAAGCCACTTCCTGTTCCTCCACCTTCTCATCGGCTGTGAACACGCTTAGTGTGTCATGATAGGGATGTACACAAAAGCCGGAAGAGGAGCAAAATATAGAAAGTTGGGAGTTCACCCTTCCCCAGGCCTGGCGTGAAAGTTGGGGCTTTTCCGCTGGTAGGCAGAAGGTGATTCCAAATAGACCTGTGCATGGGGGGAGGCAGCTCCTTGCCCCCTCAATCTAGTGGGCAGTGACGGCATGAGAACTGGCACCTGCCCAGGGATATGATGTCACACCCGCGCCAGCGTCTACTCCTGGGCTCCACGCCCAGCTTGGCACTGGGGCATCATTGCCCAGCATCCCCTTGCCCTACCCCATCAGGGCCCTGGGCTGGATGTCTGTAGGTCTCCAACTGCAACTTCCAAGTCCACGGAGAGGGAATGCAGAGCCAACCCATCATGCCAAGGGTGGTCAGTTTGGGCTTTGAGTTGGGAAAGGTGGGTAAGAATCTCAGTGTCTGATTCCTTCCTGCTCAGAGGATCCCGTGGGCTATGAATACAGGCCTTAGACCAACGTGGAGGTCATCTGTGGGCAGAGGTGGACTCTGTTGCATCTGAGATGAATAGGACTGGTGGAGGTTGCCCTACTGCTGTCCCCTGGGTGTCCCTCTGCCTCGATGGGCACACTCCAGAGACCTAGAATCCAATGTCCTCAAAGCCAGAACCATGACTGCCAGATAGCAGAAGCTGGGCCTCTAGCTTGTGTGACTAGGCAAGCCACTGCTTTGTAGTTTTGCTGCCCGCATCTCCATAGGGGACAGGGACCAGGGATGATGGGATTCTGGCGAGTAAAGAGCATCCTAGTCCAAGAAGCAGCTCTGATGTGCAGACCTGCAGTTCCCAGCCTGGTGGGAACTCCCTGCAGAGCTCCTGGGCACCCATTGAGAGCTGGCCTTTGTCCATCTTAGCTCTCAGACTTTCCTTGTCATGAGATGGAGGTGGGCCCAGCCACCACCCAGGCCTGTTGTGAGGAGTGAATGAATGAAGCTGTTTGGCAGACTGACCATGTGGTCTGAGGAGATAGACCACACATTTGTTCCTCTGTTTAGGAAGTGACTGCCTTTTCTGCCCCTCCATCCTGGCCCTCTCACTCTTACCCCTGCCCACGGCTGGTCCCTCCTCCCTGGGCATGCACCTGGTGATCCTTGTGGGATGGAAGTTTGTGGGGGTTGTGCGGGAAACAAGTCCCAGTTCCTGCTCCTCCATCCTCCAGTCTGACCACAGTTCCTGGGGCTGGGCTTGGAGTTCTCCACAGAGCCTGCCTGTGATTTTCTGAGTTCCTGACAAGGGGCGCTTTACCAAGTGTATTCCACCGAGTGTGAGAGGAACCAGGACAACAGAGGTGTCTAGGCTTCTATCATTCCCCTTGGGGAGGTGAGATCCAGTGTCCTGGAAGAGCCCCCACCACTTGGGGAATGCCCCAGGGTGCCCAGGCAGGGCTGCCTTGATGCGTGAGCTAGGGGGTCCAGAACCACAGCCCCAGCCCAGCTCCTGGCCTTCCCCAGATGCCGATGACGAGGCTGCTGTAGAGCAGAGCCATGGGGGAAGGGCAGAGCAGTGAGTGTGCAGCCAGCATGGACGTCAGAGCCAGCTCGGGCCAAGGACTAGGGTGGAAGCTGTATTTGTCCAGTGCTAATTGAGGGCATAGGGACGGTGGTGGCTGCGGAACTGGAGGGGCTCTCATTACTCAACAGGATAGACAAGCAAGCTGGAGATCGCAGGGTCACTCCCCAGGGTCCAGGTGGGGACTGGGTTGTATATGGGAGAAGGCATCACACTGCTGTCACTGAGGGGGCCCTGTCAATAACAAGGGTATCTATTTGGCCTTCCGGGTGGGGACGTCTGATTAGGGCTGCTTGGAGCGAGGTACCTGTGGGGTGACAGGAGGGAAAGCCGGTGCAGGGAGCTGGAAGTCGTGGCTGTAATGCCTATACCAGTTCAGTCTGAGGGTGCAATGCGGAAGTTGGGGATAAGCTGATTGCACGAGAGCGGGCAGGACTAGCTGCATTAGTCACCTACCTGCCTGGCATCACTTGAACACTCTTGCTCTGCTCCATAAATGGAAACCCCAAGACCCAGGTAAAGAGCACTGGCCTTGGCTTTACTGAGTTGAGGGAAAAGCAAAATGGTTCCTTGCCATACTACATGTGACTGCATCGTGTGATGGCTGGCTGGAGAGGTGAAATCCTGGACCTTCATTTCCACACTTCTGAAGGCAAGGGGCTTAGGTGAGATAATCCTGCAGCTCTCAGGCCCAGGATCTTAGCTTTTCTTTCCTCTGTCTGGTTTCTGACTCCATCACCTCCTTTATCTTAATAATAATAATAATAACCTCTATTGGAAAGGTAAATCAGATTTAGAGAGAGAGAGAAATCTTCCATCTGCTGGTTCACTCTCTGGCACCAACAGCTGGAGCTGAGCCAATCTGAAGCCAGGAGCTAGGAGCTTCTGTCTTCCATGAGGGTGTAGGATCCCAAGGCATTGGGCCATTCTCTGTTACTTTCCCAGACCATAAACAGGGAGCTAGACGGGAAGTGGAGCAGTCAGAACATGAACCAGCAATCTTATGGAATCCCAGTGCTTGCAGGGGTAGGATTCAGCCATTGAGCCATCATGCCAGGTCCTCTGACTCCTCTTTGCTGCTCAGAGCTCCTAGACCCTGCCCTGCTCATCCTAGTTTCTTTTTTAGTTTAATTACTGATTTGAAAGCAGAGTTAGAGAAAGAGGTCTTTCAACTGCTGGTTTACTCCCTAAATGGTCACGACAGCCAGGGTTAGGCCAGGCTGAAGCCAGGAGTTTCTTCCAGGTCTTCCATGTGGGAGCTGATGTCCTAGCACTTGAGCCAGCTTCTGCTGCTTTCCCAGGTGCATGAGCAGGGAGCTGGATCAGAATGGAGCAGCCAGAACTCAAACCACCATGGGATGCTGCCATTGAAAGTGGCAGCTTAATTTGCTATGCTACAATGCCAGCCCCTCTTCCAAGTTTCTGATAGTACATACATGAGGTGTGACTGTCCTTGGGGAGAGGTGGGGCTTGAGGCAGAAGGAAGCAGCTCTGAGGCCCAGGGTGCCTCATGTGCTTAGCAGACTCACTTCCCTCCTGGAAACAGCAGCCATGTTCTGACAACCCCCGTGTACCCTGCACAGGGTCCCTGATGGGCCTGGGTGACATTATCTCACAGCAGCTGGTGGAGAGGCGGGGTCTGCGGGAACACCAGGCCAGCCGGACTCTGACCATGGTGTCTCTGGGCTGTGGCTTTGTGGTAAGTTCTGCACCCAGCAGGGACAGTGCTCTGGTTCTGCACCACCCTTTAGTTCCCCGTGGTTTCTCTCACGTCAGCCAGCCCTGCCATCCCTGCAACACCTGGGACTTGGGTTATAAAAGCCATGTGTCCCCTTCCCTGCATGGGGTTGACTTTCAGGGCCCTGTGGTAGGAGGCTGGTATAAGGTTCTGGACCGGCTCATCCCAGGGAATGCCAAAGTGGATGCACTGAAGAAGATGCTGGTGGATCAGGTAAGCAGAAAGAGAATGGAGCCAGAAAGGGCAGGTGGGGGCAGGTACTCACAGAAGCCTTCATTTCTTGCCCTAGGGGGGCTTTGCCCCATGTTTTCTAGGCTGCTTCCTCCCACTGGCAGGTGCCCTCAATGGACTGTCAGCCCGGGACAACTGGGCTAAGCTACAAAGGGTAAGCCAGGCAGGTGTGGGCAAGGTCTCTGGCTGCCAAGCTAGCAGCCCAGGGGCAAGAGGCAAACTGTGGGGGTGCAGGCAGATAGAACAGGGGAGCAGAGGGGGGCGTGGTGCAGGAGTAAACTCCTTGAGTAGACAGCGGTGTGTAGTATTCCCGTTGGGATGTGGGAGCTGCTAGAGGAGGAAATGTTAATTTGTTGTTTCTGTCTCTTTAGGACTATCCGGATGCCCTCATCACCAACTACTACGTGAGCGCTGACACACTCATAGCCTGCCCTGTTTCCTTAAGTTCAGAAATGCCCTGGGGGTGGGTTATTCCAACCCAGGACCCCCTCCAGTGGGGTGCTCATTTCCTTAGGTAGCATGCTCAGGGATGTGCCTGGCAGGTTTTCAGCTGTCACTCTTGTCTAGATGTTGGGGCGGGGCCAGGTGATGCTTGAGCCTAGCAGTCAACCGAGGGAGGCAGCCACCCAACCCTCACCTTCCATGTCTTGCAGCTCTGGCCTGCTGTGCAGTTGGCCAACTTCTACTTGGTGCCCCTGCATTACAGGTATGACGCCCTCCCTTACCCCAGCCTTCAAGGAAGACCCTTGTCACCCAGCAGCCAAAGAACTCATTTTAGCCCTGAGCTGTTTTGGGCCCCAGCTGGCATACCCTTTCCTGGGCAAGGCTTCTCAGACTCCCAAGCATTTTTCTCTAAAACATCTTAGACTTCACAGGATCTATTCTGAGGTGCCTGCCCACGGACCTCTCATCTTCCCAGGGAGGATCCTGCATCCACAACTCTGGTTTCTGTGCCTTTGATGGGCAGTTCCTTGGGGTGCTGTAGTTTAGGTTACACAGATAGGTAGACCAGAAGGCCCAGGTAGGAACCTGATCAGGCCTGTTCACTGCAAAGTACAATTTTATCCTAATAATAAAGGTAATTTCTCAACCACAATTTTAAAAATCGCATAGAGTGAAACTCACAATGAATAGTGCAAATACTTGGAGGTGACAGGTTTGGGTTATAGGGGAGAACGCAAAACTCCTCAAAGGAGGCAGTCAAAATTTATATAATTCACATTGCTAAAAGGGGTAGCATCTTGGGAATCAAATCCCAAACACTAAGATCCTTTATAACTGCTTTGAAAGTAGAACCAACTTAGTTTAAGATAAAGAAAAGAGGATGCTACTTTACCCAGCATGCAGGACATTTCTGGAAGCAGAAAGCTTGTGCAGGGTGCATACGTAAGTGTATATGCAGAGGGCCTGACCAAGGGTGTGAATGGCAAATCTCTGCCTGTCCCCACAGCTGTTGAGGGTGTTTAGCCTTTGTCACCCAGGAAGACAGCAGCAGGATTGGAGCTGTGCCCTCCTCTAAGGGCTGAGGAAAGGAACCTAAATCTGGAAGTCTTGCCTCCCTTCCCCCAGCCTCTCACTGTCCTTGCCAATCTGTGCCTTCCCAGCTTGCCTCACTCTTCCTCTTAGGTTGGCCGTTGTCCAGTGTGTTGCTGTCATCTGGAACTCATACCTGTCCTGGAAGGCACACCAGCTCTAGACCCACATTGCTCCATGGTGTGTACCTTGCAGCACAGCTTGACTCTGGAATGGTCAGACAACCTCCTCCAAGGGGCCGGGGTAGGGTCCAAGCATTTGGGATTGGCACTTTGAGCTGGCATGATTCACTCTGCAATGTAAACTGACTGCTTCTGAAATTGGTAGAGCCTTCACAATGCATCACCTGACAACAGCGCTACTTCCCAAGCAATGTAGCATTAGGCAATTTTGTCAGTGTGAACCTCCCAGAGTGGACCTACCCAAACCAAGATGGTACGGGCCAGCCACTTGAGGTGGCCTCTTGTTCAATCAAGAAAGGTAATAAACGTGAAACCTACAGACCACCACCAGTGTCACTCAGCACGCGGCCCGGGTTGCTAAGTGGGAGTACATGCTTACAAATGTTGTTTCTTACCGAGTTATGTGCTCTGCATAACCGTGTGCTGTACTTTGATAGGATGGTAACTTGGTAGCTTTGTTTACATCATTATCATCACGAACAGGTGAGGAATGCATTGCACTTCAATTTACCACATCCGGATGTTGCTCCTGGGTGCTGTGCTCATCAGGCTCATCTCGCGGGGCATTGCGGTGTGTGTGGGTCATCACTGACCATATCAGCATTGGGCAGTACCCAACTGCAATCTATACCCACCTGCAGTACCTACTCCCAAAATATGTGCTTGGCTTTTAAAATGATTTATTTACTTGTTTATTTGAAAGATTTTCAGTCAGAGAGATCTTCCATCTGCTGGTTTGCTCCCCGAGTGGCTACATTGCCTGGGAGCTGGGCAGCCAGACTGAAAGCAGGAGCCTGGAGCTTCTGGTTCTCCCACAAGGGTGGCCAGGGCCTCTGCTGCTTTTCCAGGCCATTAGTAGGGAGCCAACTCAGAAATGGAATATTCAGGGTTTGAGCTGACCCATATGTGATGCCAGTGTCATGATTGCCAGCTTTACCTGCTGTGCCAACTCACCAGTTCCATAAATCTGTATTGAATCCTGTGACCATTGTCCAGCAAATGTCACTCATCCTCTCTTCCCAGACTGTCACTCCAGCTCTTTGGGGTCTCTTAAACTCTATACTGCAGCAAGTATGGCATTGAATATGTAATCTGGAATCTGCAGAGGTAATGAGTACTGGGTAGTCACATTTTCTCAAACCTGCAAGAGGTCTGGGAGCACGAAACCCAACAGGGACACCTTGGAAGTAAAGTCGCCTGTGCATGCCATGAGGTAGTGACAGAGTAGGAACCTGGACCTGTATCCTCACTGCCTTCCCAATGGTCTCAACTAGGTTAAAGGTGTAGTAATACCATTGCCAATGCCCAACACAAACACTGATCTGGGCTAAGCCACCACTTTGGACAAACTCAGAAGCAAATGGGCCAGCTTTATGTGGTTGGGAAGCACCCTGAGGCTGGAGGCCCTCCTGTGTGTCTGTTCGCATGTGTGCCTGTGCCTGCAAGCACATGGTGCCTCATTCAGAGGGATGACTTGACTCAGGGCTGTAATGAGGTCTCTATCGGTGACCTTGATGTGGCAGACCCCTTTCAGCCCCTGGTGTTGGCTGAGTGCCAGCAGCACGCTGTGACTCTGGGTTTGTACAACTAATAGCTCCAGCAGGGGACTGGATCCACACAGTGCAGCCTTCTCTTAATGCCTCTGGCTCCTTTCTGGAGGCCCAGGACGGCGTCAGCACCATGGACAGCCGCCACAGGCGGCCTTCCTTTCCTTTAACGAAAAGGAAAGCCGGCTGGGAGCGATCTTTGGGAATGGGCCCGGTCCTTGCTGGCTGCTTTAAGAGGGAGAGGGACACTGCGGGACTTCCAGAGCAACATTTCCGTCCAGTCAGCTTCTCGCTCTTGGGAATCCAGCGCTGGCCCGGGACATGCTGTAGTATCCGGAGTGTGTGCACCTCCGGGGGCTCGCAACCCGGCCGTCTTGTCAAGAGGTTGAGTCTGTCATTGCTCTCCACCACCGGTGCTTGTTCCCGGCTGACGTCAGTCGGAGCTGTCCTGGCGCTATATAAGGCTGGCGGCGGTCCCGGGACAGACCCCGCGCTTCCCCAAGCGCACTCGGTCTACCCCGAGGGACAGAGGTTGCAGCTCCATCTCGCACCGGCCCTGCGCTCTCTGACACCCTGTGAGTGGCTCCTCCCTTCTGCTCAGACTCCCTGGGCACCAGTCCATGCTCAGACCACCGGCAGTGGCCCGCCAGGAGGGAGGCAGGGAGATGGGGAGCAGGAGGAAGAGGTGGATCCGGCAGTGGCCAGGGCTGGAGCAGTGACGGGAGGCAAGCTGTGTGCACTAGGCAGCAGCCCGAGGTGACCCGCGGGGCGCTGGGTGTGCGCCGGAAGGGAATTTGCCACCTGCGGCTGTCCCAGGCGCACCTCACTGCCCTCTGTGTATCCAGGGCACCATGAAACAGGCGGCACGCGCGGCGCTGCTGGGGGCGTTACTGCTACTGGCCCAACTGCGCCCCGGGAGCAGCCAGTGGAATTCGGCGGCAGCAGCGGCGGCAGGGGTCCGGGACCCAAATCTACGTTGGAGTCCCGGGACACGGAGTCAGGGCGGTGGGGCCCGCGCACTTCTCTTGCTGTTGGCCGAGCGCTTCCCGCACCGCGTGTGGCCCGGCCGCCGGGGACCCGAAACGGAGAGCGAGCGGCTGCGACGCGATGACCCTCCACTATCCATCGACCTCACTTTCCACCTGCTGCGGACCCTGCTGGAACTGGCGCGGACGCAGAGCCAGAGGCAGCGCGCCGAGCAGAACCGCATCATATTTGACTCGGTGGGCAAGTGATCCATCGGGCCGGGGGCGGGCAACACCCTGGTCTCTTCCCCCACCACCGGTTGGAAGGAGCGCGCCCCGAACTGAGTCGCGTGGGACAGAGGGGCCCATTCACCCTGGGCACTCTGCGTGTCTTTTTTCTTTCTCTCCTTTCTTTCTTTTCTTCTCCTCTCTCTCTCTTTTTAAATAAAAAATGAGGACGGGCTTTGGTTTTTGTTGTGGGAGCGCGGCAGCCGCAACAGGGTCTGAACCTGTGGGAGAGTCGGGTCTCCTAGGCTGGCGGGAGGGACCCACGTGTTGCAGGGGGCTCCTCCAGAAAAGCTTCCGGCCGTTCCCCTTGGGGTCCCATCACCCCTCTCTCCAAAATCCCGGAAGGTAGCGGTCTCGGCATCCCCTGGATCCCCTTCTCCCTCCCATAGCACCGGGCTCACGAGGCCCAACACAGGTTCATCTCACTGCCGCCCCCTCCCCGAAGTGGTCTTTGGGGAAGGGAAGAAGGCAGCCAGTGGGAGTGGGCAGCGAAAGGAGATGCGAGCCTGGGACGCTACAGTCCTTTATTGAGCCATACTTCCACGGGTAGTGCCAAGCTGGGGGTGCGGTCACCGCTGCGCAGATCTCCCACCACACCGGTGGGGGGTTGCAGACTCTCCACTGCGAGCCGGCTCAGTGTGGGCCTGTGCTCGCGAGAGACAGCTGTGTGAGCTGGTGCCCCAGTCACCCACTCCGGTTCCCCAGCCATGTGCGTTTCTCCTCGCTTTGCCCACCCGCATGGAGCCCCCAAGCCGCCGGGAGCGGCCAGCGGTGAGTAAGAAAATGCACTTGGATACTTGGGTCTCTCCTTTGTGGCTCGGGATGGGTGGCATTCAAAGGGCGTGGGGGCACTCACCTTCCTGCGCGTCCTGCCGCTCATCTGGCCCTACACCGGTGCCTTCATCCCCGTCCAACACCACCTCTTCGTCGTCTTCCTCCCCGGCAGCACCTGGACCCACGGAAGGCCCTGTGAGGTGGCGGCCGGGTCTTGCCAGCCCCCTCCCCCCAGCGCCGTGGGTCTGACTGCCAGGGTGCCTACCCCCACCCCGGCCAGTACTCATTCCCTCACCTGGCTGGAAGTCGATGGTCCTCAGCATTTCAGCCACATGCTCCACGCTCACCGTGAACTGGTCCATACTCTCGTAGCCCGGCTCTGGCCGACTTGCCAGCTCCACCTTGGACATCGCCCCGACCCTGTGGGGAGCCGTGACGACTCAGCTGGCTGGCAACGCTCCCACACCCTCGAACCTTGGAGCCCACGGCCCTTTGGCTGCCCCTTCCCGCTCTGCCTACTCACTTATTGATCAGCTCCTTGGCTTGCTGCAGGGGAGAGAAAAGGGTGCGAGTCAGATCGGATCGGGACCACAGCCTCGGGCAAAGCCCGCTCCAGGGCCCCTAAACGGGCCTGCAAGTCACACCTTTCTTTTGGGAGAAAAGGAGCTGGGGGTTGTGGGGTGGGGGGTTGTGGGGTGGCGGAGTGGCGGTAGGGTGGGGAGGTGGGGGGGTGGGAGTAGGGTGGGGAGGTGGGGGGTGGGGCTTGCCCAAGGTCATAGGGCAACAGACAACCCTGGAACCCGGGGCCAAGGTCGCGCCCACCTGGAGGTAGAGCGCCATCTGCGGCTCCTCCATGGACTGGATGGCCAACTCCACCAGCTTGCTCGAGGCCTCCAAGTGGTCTCCGTACTGCCGGATGAGGCCACGGACCTGCTGCAGCTTCTCCTCTTGCTCGCGCGCCAGCGCCTGCAGCAGCTCGCCCTTGCGCTCCTCCAGCACAGCGCACAAACTCTCAAACCTCTGATTTAACAACTGCTTCTGCCTTCGGCTGTTGTCCTAAGAGACCCAAGGCCTAGATGAGTACAGCTAGTCTGGGAGAGCTAGAATGCTCACCTCTGCCCCACATTTGATGGGACTGGCGGGGAGGTGAGAAAGCAAGGTGCAGGGGGTTACAAGCAAGGTCATACCCTGCCAGAATCCAGCCCCTGGCCTTTCTGACAAGAGATATTTTAGACCCGCAGCCATCTGTGTCCTTGGCCCTGGGTTCTCTTTGTGTTGTTCCATTGAGTTCTCAGGAAGACCCTATGAGCTGGCCGCTGTGTCATCACCATCACCACCAAGCACCAAAGCTCAGAGAAATTAGACACTGGGCCAAAGGCACAGAATTAGCAAGCAGTTGAGCTGGAATGCAGACCTAGCAGCCTGGTGAAGCATATCTCACTATTTGCAGGAGGCCAGAGTTCAGACAGGAGCAGCAAGCACTCTGAGGTCCAGGGTGGCCAGGCCAGCCAGTATACACCTCCCCACCTCCCTGCTTGGCCACCTGCTAGCCCAGGCTCACCTCGATGGTCTGGCACACCTCCTCCATCTGTGTGATCACAGCTTGCACCCGGTCGTTGCCTGCCACCAGCATCGCGATGCCATCACTGAGCTCACTCTGATGCACACACAGGCTAGAGCTTAGGACTGGAGGGTCCAGCCCAGGAGCTGCTCCCATCCCACCCCAGCCAGGACTGCACTGGAAAAATATGCTCCTTCCCCCTCAGCCCTCCATCAGGGCATCCACAAAGAGCTAGAAGGATTAGAGCCATCTGAGGAGTGTGGATGTGTGTTCTATGAGTTCTGGAAGTATATCATTTGAAGGGACCGGCATTCTCCAAATGGCCCCCTGAGGCTGGCCATTGGGCTAGATGCTTCATCTGTAGATTCATATCTTCCATCAGTTCTGGAAAATTCTCAGGGTTATCATTCAGGTAGTATTGACTCTTCTCCAGGCCCTGTTCGCCCTGTTCTCAGAGTCAGGGAGTCTGGGTAACCTCTTCTCTTTCTCAGCCTTTCATCTCCCAGGGCTGCATCCTGCTTTTCTCAGTCCTTGTGTTCTACTTACTAATTGTCTCCAGGATAAAAACAAAAACTGTCATTTAATTGACTGTTCTATTCCAACAATTGTAGTTCTATTTCTTTCTTTTGTGTGTGTTTCTATTTTTAAAAACTTTATTTGGCTCTTTGTCCAAAATGCATGGTCAGGAGCCAGCATTGTGGCATAGCTGGTAAAGCTGCTGCCTGTAACACCAGCACCCCTGATGGCTGCTGACACAAGTCCAAGCTGTTCCACTTCCAATCCAGTTGTTAATGTACTGGGGAAAAGCAGTACAAGATGACCCATGTGCTTGAGCACCTGCCATCCATGTGGAAGGCCCAAAAGAGGCTCCTGGCTCCTAGTTTTGGCCTGACCCAGTCCTGGCGATTGCAACCATCTGCAGCGTAAACCAGCAGATGGAGGAAATCTCTGTCTCTGTAACCTGACTTTCAAATAAATAAATAAGTAAGTCTTACACAAGGTAATGTTTGGCACTCTGTTATGGCTTGTTTTTTTACTCCATGTTTATGAAGGCATTTTATTCATAGTAAGTTTTTATTCTTCAGTAATTCCAGGGAAGGCATTGTAATGTAGTGGTTAAGCTAAAAATGCCTGTATCCCTTAAGGGAGTGCCTGGTTTAATTTCCATCAGTTACTCTTCTGATCCAGCAACCTGCTAATCCACATGCTAAAACCAGCAGGTGATGGTTTAAGTAACTGAGTGTCTGCCATACACGTGGGAGACTTCCACTTTGGCCCAACCCCATCTGGGCCACTGTGGGCATTTCAGGAGTGAACCAGAGAACGAAAGCTTTCTTTCTCTCTTTCAGATAAATAAAAATATATAGTCTTTTAAAAACAAACTTATCCTTAAACAATAATGCCCAATAATTCCTTGGAAATTGCAAATCTGTAGTTTTTGTTTATATTAACTTCACTCATAGAATACCTTGCTTTGTGTGTCTTCTATTATGAGCTAATATTCGGTTGATAAGGTAAATGCAAGGGCCTAAATGAAGGGCATTTTCCTCCAGGAAGAATTTGCATTTGCTCTGTCAAAAGCCAAGTGGTTGGGGCAGAGTTGTGGCATAATAGGTTACGCTAACACTTGTAACTCCATGTCCCAGGCTCTGGGTTCAAATTCTACTGCTCTGTGTCTGATCCAATGCCCTGCTAATGTGCCTGGCAAGGCAGCAGATGGTGGACCGAGTGCTTGGGCTCCTGCTAGCCGTGTGGGAGCCTGAATGAAGCTCCTGGATCCTGACTTTGACCTGGACCAACTTTAACTGTTGGAGCCATTTGGGAGAGTGAACCAGTAGGTGGATGATTGCTCGCTCTCTCTCTCTATTACTTTGTCAAATTCAAAGAAATCTTCAAAAGAGTCATTGAGAAAGGAAAGGCCAGATGGTTCCTGGCACTCCAGGAGTCTTGGCAGTGTTAAATATATGTTTCCCAGGTTTTATAGGCTTGGAAGTATAGTTGCCTTTGCTTTTACATATTTATTTATTTTCATTGGAAAGAAACTTCCACCCACTGCTTCACTCCCTAAATGGCTGCAGCAGTCAGATCCAAACCAGTGCCCATATGGGATTCCAGCACTTGTAGGTAGAAGATTAGCTAATTGAGCCAGTGTGCCAGGCCCTGGATGTATAATCATTTCTCACCACATCACTGTTTATTGCCTGGTTTGGTCCTCTGGGAAATGCTCAGCTTACTCTTCTCCCACCCCACCCATACTCAGAGATTCATTTTATTTCCTCTGTTCCAGCCAGTATAACTTTAACATTATAAAAGGAAAATTTCTTTTTGGGGACTGGCAACATAGCATAGAAGACAAAGCCTTCCCCTCAGGCACCAGGAATTTATCCAGATCTCCCAAGTGGACACAGGAGTACTGGGTTCATCTTCTCCTGCCTTCTCAGGAGCCAGGAGCTTTTTCCAGCTCTCCATGTAGGTGTAGGGACCCAAGCACTTGAGCCATCCTCCACTACTTTCCCAGGCATATTAATAGGGAGCTAGATGGAAAGTGGGGTACCTAGGACTCAAACTGGTAGTCTTATGGGATGGGATGCCAATACTGTAGGCAGCAGTAAAACCCACTGTGCCATAGCACCATCTCCGATTTTTCACTTTAAACCCAGGTGAAGGAGAAAACTTTGGGAAGAACAAAGACGCTGCTTGGGATGCTCAGTCCCATCTGCTGCCAACTCCAGCTTCTGGCTGACGCTCACACGAGAGGCAGCAGTTGATGAGGCAAGTATGAGGGTCCCTGCCACCTATGTAAGACACCTGGATTGAGTTCCAGGCTTCAGCCCAGCCCAACCACAGGCATCACAGACATTTGGAGAGTGACCCAGAAGATGGAAGACCCTTGTTTTCTAGCCTTTCAAATGAAATGAAAGTAAACAAAGCCAAGTATTATTAAGAGGCTGATCCTGTCTGGGTACCACACCCTTGCCACTCCCTCCTTCCTTCCCTGGTACCTTCTGACGTTTGTAAATGGCAGGCAGTGGAGCCACCTCGCAGTCCTTGTGGGCCCCAAAGACCTTGCAAAGCGAGCAGGTGGGCACCTCACAGCTCAAGCAGTAGATATTGATCTTCTCTTCCTCATGCTCCTCACACATGAGATGCTGTTCAGCCTTGGAGTGCAGTGGCCTAGAGAGCAGGGACAGAGAGGCAGGGAGGGTGAGAGTCGATGGAGCGAGAAGGGCCCTGACCAGTGCCATGGGTGCTTGACTGGGCAGGTGAGCAACTTTGCTGAGGGGCAAAGTTGGGGTAGAGGGGGCTGAGCACTCACCGTGAGGACTCCTGCTTGTAGATGTCAATGATGTTCTCCACCAGCAGGTTCCGCTGCAGGCCGTAGACCCCGTGTCGGTCCAGGACCACCTCATGTCTGCAGGACGGGCAGCGGAAGCGGCCTCCCGAGGATACGGTGGTGGAGCCCCGGGACTGCCACAGAGGGTTGGAGGCCTGTAGGGATGGGTGACAATGTGATTCAGGACACAGCAGGGCCACGAGAGAGCTGAGAGGAACAGGGGGAGAATGGTTAGGGGCAGGGTGGCGGGGGAGGAAGCATGAGCTCTTGAAGGGCTAGGCATCCACCTCAGGTGGGCGGCCATGGTGCTCTGGTCCCTACCTCGTCGCCAGCTTGGTCAGCCCAGCTCCTGCGTGTCTCTGTCCACATCCTAGCTTCAACCAAGACCTAGCCTCAGTGGGGCCTTTACAGAGGGCTCCAGCTGGGAGCACTGGGGAGAGGCTGGTCCCCACAGGAAGGATGGGGCAGGAGAAGGACTCAGTCCAGCTCTCTCCCCAAGTCTGGGAACGTCAAGGGCTGCATCTGGGGGGAAGATTCTCTGTAGTCCTGGGCAGCAGCACAAAACAGAAACCACAGCTGGTTGGGGATATCTGGGAAATCACTGCAGGCACTGGGAGTCTATCCTGGCTTGCTGGGGGCGCCTAATGCTTGCTTTAAAAAAAAAAAAAAAAAAATTGGCGGGCTCGGCACAGTGGTACAGTGGTTAAGGTCCTCGCCTTGCACGCCCGGGATCCCATATGGGCGCCGGTTCTATCCCGGCAGCCCTGCTTCCCTCCCAGCTCCCTGCCTGTGGCCCGGGAAAGCAGTCGAGGACGGCCCAAAGCTTTGGGACTCTGCACCTGCGTGGGAGACCTGGAAGAGGCTCCTGGCTTTGGATCGGCATAGTATCGGCCGTTGCGCTCACTTGGGGAGTGAATCATTGGACGGAAGATCTTCCTCTCTGTCTCTCTTCTCTGTATATCAGCCTTTCCAATAAAAAAATAATAAAGATAAGTCTTAAAAAAAAAAGAAAAAGGTTGGCACCTGGCACATGGTAACCTAGTGGTTAAAATCCTTCTGAGCCAGGATCCAATATGGATGCCGGTTCTAATCCCTGCGGCCCCACTTCCCATCCAGCTCCCAGCTTGTGGCCTGGGCAAGCAGGAGAAGATGGCCCAAAGCCTTGGAACCCCACACCCACATGGGAGACCTAGAGGAGGTATCTGGCTCCTGGTTTCAGATCAGCCTAGCTCAGCTAGGGCAGCATTCACTCTCTGAGAAATTATGGACAGGATTGGCTGATTAAATACTGACTGTGCCAAGGAATGTCTAGGCTCTAGACTCAAGGTAGGAGCAAGCTTGCAGCCCCATCCTCACACCTGGCAGATCATCACGTACAGCACAATGTGGGTAGTGGTGGGGTAGGCTCAGCATGATGTCCAGGGGAGTCATCAGCTCCTCCCACCTGCTCCAGCCCCAGACCCCAGGAGACAGCCTCAGAGCTGTGGAAGTGACCACGTGACCCAGACATCTCTAACCACATGTTCTTTCTGTGGGGACTCAGCTGACTATCCTGCAGACCCGTGCATTTGGGCTAAGGTCATAGCCACCCTGGAAAAGATGAGGGGTTGGAAGCTCTGACAAGAGGGAGCTGGCAAGAAGCAGAGGTAAAGGAGGGCAGAGATGGCTGACGGCTCCCCAAAGCTCACCCCTTCTCCCTCTTCAGTCACAGAACCGCTGGGTCTTGGCAAGACCAAACATCCCAGCCTTACACAGCTGGATATGACCCAGAGGGCTGTGTCCTGGGATGTACCTAGCAATACTTTGTACCCTTTCCAGAAAGTTCCTCTAGTGGGTGGGCCAGGCCTTCTGCTTCCCCTTTCCTTTCTCCTTCCACCTGGCTTGAGTGACAGGAGAGGCTCCAGTTGAAACAGCTCCTTGCAGGTGGCAGGCACAGGTGGAGGACTGCGACAAGATGAAAGCTGAGCTCTCAGTGAGTAGGCAGCTTTGGCCTGCCTGCCTGGCCTACACACAGTGGGACAGTAAAGCAAATGCTAACCTCCCCCAAGCCCCTGTTTCTCCACCCTGAGCCCAACCAGCCGGAAGATCGCCCTCTGGAGCCAAGGAAACAGTCATTGTCTTTGCGTCTGCTGACGTGTGTTTCCTACAGCAGGATTCCAACTCAGAGCCGAAACAGTGCTGGCTTGGAAGGAACTTTTATGTGGGCATGGCAGCTCTACCTCATGCATGGTGGACAACCATGTCACATCCGGTCAGACCCTTTGGTAGCTGGCAGGCAGCACGGCCCCACCGTGAAGGGAAGCTTACCATGCGTGAGCCTGGGCATGTGCTGTCAATACTACATTTTCCTCAGGATGACCGGGGACTCCTGAGAAGTTAGCTCTTTAGGCCACCATAAAGCTGGAACAAATTCCGTTGAGTGTGTCCCTGGCTGTGTGCATGCATCTGTCCTCAGAATTAAATACCAAGGAATTGAATGGTGGTGGGACAGCTCTCTGCTCTATGATCCTTGGACTCTTTTTTTTTTCCCCCCAAGATATATTTTTATTGGAAAAGCAGGTTTTTTTTCAAAGATTCATTTTATTTTTATTGGAAAATCAGATGTACAGAGAAAAGGAGAGACAAAGAGGAAGATCCTCCATCCGCTGATTCACTCCCTAAGTGGCCACAATGGCTGGAGCTGAGCCGATTTGAAGCCAGGAGCCAGGAGCTTCTTCCAGGTCTCCCATGCAGGTGCAGGGTCCCAAGGCTTTGGGCCATCTTCAACTGCCTTTCCTGGCCACGAGCAGCGAGCTGGATGGGATGTCAGGCCACTGGGCCTAGAAAAGCAGATTTTTACAGAGGGAAAAAGATCTTCCATCTTGGTCTGGAGTGATGGCTCAGTGGCTAAATCCTCACCCTGCATGAGATCCTTGGGACCCTGCACCTGTGTAGGAGGCCCAGAAGAAGTTCCTGGATCCTGGCTTCGGATTGGCTCAGCTCTGGCCATTGCGGCCATTTGAGAATGAACCAGTGGATGGAGGATCTTTCTGTCTTGCCTTCTCTGGGGGTAAATTTGTCTTTCCAATAAAAACAAATAAACCTTTAAAAAAGCCATTTGAGGAGTGAACCAATGTTGGGAAGATCGCGCTTTCTCTCTGTAACTCTGCCTTTTAGATAAAAATAAACCTATTTTTTTTTAAATGCCAACATTAAGTCATAGTACAGGTACAGGCACACAGCTATGGCAAAAATCCGGAAGGTGGGGAGAGAATGAAGCCTGGAGTGTTTATGATCACACTGCCTGGACTCCCTCTTCTGTGGAGTTCATCAGTCGGCTGTCCCAAACCTTCTGCACGTGCTGGGCACATACTGAGTGCGAGCATCAGCTGCACACGTAGGTGAACATGTTGCTCTTTCTTGGCACCAGCTCTGTGTGCGGTGTGTAATGCAGCAAGAGCAGGGGATGGCACTGTAAGAAGGCTGTGGATGTGCTCAGTGCTGCTCGGTGAGTCTCTCCCCCTCCCTCCTTCCGTCCTCTCGCCTCCTCTCTCTCCCTCTCTGAGCTTCCTTTTCCTCAGGCCACTGAATTTTTAGAGAAAGATTCGTGGCAAGCATTCCAGACACCCTGAGCAGCTGCCCCACGGGCAGGGAGGGAGTTGGTGGCTCCTGCAGCCACCTTCTCAGCTCACACCTGTCGCCTGCCACCCAGTACCTCACCTCCCCTGGGGTGCACCTGCTAACCATCCCTGGAGCGCCCTCTTCCTAGCGGGCATAGGCAGTTCCTGAAATCCCCGTCTCTGAAACAGCCTGGAGTATACACAGAAGGGCAGATTCGTTGTACCCCATGCTGGCTTATCTGTGGCTTCTCTTCAAACTACTTATACTTTCTCCTCTTCCACCACACAGAACTGTCACTTGTGACACTTAAGAAGTACAAAACAAGCTGAAGCAAGATGGTATGAAGACGGGGATGAGAAAGATGATCTGATAATTTCACTTGGGAATCTTGCCCAAATGACAAAGCCCAAAGATTTATACACCAAAATTCATGAAAAAAAAAAAGATGTTCTTACTACTTGGAATGAAGCAGAAACATCCTGTTACAGACTGATTAGTGAATAGTGGTAATCTACCCCACGGACACTGTTCATTAACACTGGGGTAGGGACAGGCATTAAACTGCTGCTCAGGAGAACCTCACCCCATCCCAGTGCCTCAGACGGAGTCCCGGCTCCACCCTCACTTTCCTGTTGACACAGATCCTGTGAGTGACAGCTGCTCCCTGCCAGCACAGAAGAACCCAGGATCCAGTCCCAGGATCCAGTTCCTGGCTCCTGGGCACTTCAGGGTTGGGGAGTTAACCAACAGCAGGCAGCCTGTTCTTTCTCTCATTGTCTCAACTTCTCCCTCTCTCACTCACTCACTGTCTTTAGAAAAAGAAAATGAATTAATTAAAGCAATAACTAAAAGATTGAGATCGGTAAACATGCGCTATCATGGAGAACTATCAATACCTTGGGGTGGTGCTGTGGTGTAGCGTGGTGAAGCGCGGCCTGCAGCACTGGCATTCAGGTGGGCACTGCTTTGAATCCTGGCTGCTCCACTTCCGATCCAACTCCCTGCCAACACACTTGGGGAAGTAGCGAAGGATCCTGCACCCACATGGGAGACCCAGAAGAAGCTCCCGGCTTCAGGCCAGCCAGGCTCTGGCTGCTGTGGCCATTTGGGGAATGAAGTAACAGATGGAAGATCTCTGTTTCTCCCTATCTCTGTGTACTCTGCTATTCAAAAAATAAATACAATTTTAAATAAGAAATGTTAGTAACTTGTTAAGTGGGAAAAGCAATTTGAGAATATACTTAATACCAACTTTGATAACACATGTGTACAATATAAGATCAGTATTATCTGGGAATTTAAGCTTACATAATACGTTTGTGCCAGTCTACAATTAGAATAAACAATACAAATTGCTCCTTTTGTGTCGGCAGACACATAGATATATAATAGTAGAAGGGATACTAAATGAGATACAAAAGCTATGATTCTTCTATCTTTAACAGTGTTTTCAAATTTTTTAAGATTTATTTTTACTGAAAAGTCAAATCTACAGAGAGAAGGAGAGACGGAGAGAAAAATCTTCCATCCACTGGTTCACTCCCTATGTAACCAC